AAAAAAAATTAACTGAAAAATAATTAATAATAAATATCAAATAGATTTTAATTAAACAACTAATCAATACATAATCTAAATTCGCTAAAACATCATTATTAATATTTAGAGTTATTTATTTATTGAAAAGATTTTTTTTGAATAATTTTGCTTTCTAAATAAATTTTTTCTATAAACTATAAAAAAAAAAATAAAAAAACAGCTCCAAGTTGTATCTAATATAAAATAATTACAAATATACTTGCAAAAATTCTCAACTTACTTGATGTAAAAACTGTTTGAAAAGTTGATGGAGGAGTTGATGGGGAGTTTAATAGGAAATTTACGAAAGAAAAAATTTTTTTTAACGCTACTTTTTGTTGAAGTAATTTCTTAATATCTGTCATATGATTATGTAGCACAAGTGTGATCATTTTTGCAAAACTTAATTTACCTAATTTTTATTAAATTATTGTCAAATTCCTTAATTTAGACGAATTTTGTTAATTCCGCAGATCGGCAGATATGTTAAGATATTTTGTAATATTTTATTAATTTATTAGGCCTATTTTGAAAATTTTAAAATAATTTAAATATATATGTTTATATATGTTTAAAGTATCCTTTCTCTTTTCTGAAATTGGATGTACCAAATATTTCTAATTTTACCAAAAATTTTCAAAAATTTTAATATGTTTAAATATTATATTTGTTTAAATTATTCCTTTTTCCCTTTTCAAATTTTTTAGCTAGAAAGAATATTAAACTAATTACTGTAAAGTCCCGAATATAAGCAACCTTTTTTTGTTATAGGGATGCTTATATTTGGGTAAATTTATATATTTGGTATATTGTAGTATTGGCCAAAATTATCATAGTGTTGGTCAAGGGTGCTTACTTTCGGGTAATATAAAAATCTGGGGGTGCTTATAATTGTGACTTTACGGTATTAGTTTGAAATAATTGGTAATTTAAATCAATATATTTTACTGTAATAATTGCATATAAAATCATATTTAGGTTGCATTTCATAAAACTTGAGACTAGAAAAAATAAACCAATTATAGAAGAATATACAAAGAATTTGGAATCTAAGAAAAATTAAAAATTCCTGTATCCAGATAGTTAAGGAAATTCTTAATGAGAAGCCAATAATCAAATATCATTCTTCTTTTTTAAACAAATTAAAGTTTGATGTCTTTTCAAAAATATCAAATTATATTAGAGATGTAAGGATTTAGCATTAGCTTCATAGCAAGCTGGTATAAGGATATTAAAAAACTTGAAAAGTTAATTATGGTCAGCAAAAATAATGCATATATCAAGATAATGGAATTTTTCTTTTTGAAATATAGTATGATGAAAAACTGGAAATCGTTATTTCTAAAAGGATACAAAAAATTGAGTTTATTTGTCTAATATTCAAAAGTTTTGATATCCTATAATCAATAATCTTATAATATATGTAACTACATTTAATTAGCAGATAAATATATTGTAAAAGTCATATATTAGTTAAAATTATGGAATACAGTTCTGTAATGTCCACTTTAATCTATTCTAAGTATGAATTATTTATATTAATTATGTTCCATTAGCACTAAAGCTTCGCATGAGCTGAGCTGACTCACGAGCTGGCTCGAGCTTTTCAATCTGAGCTGAGCTGAGCCACGATTAAATTGGCTCAGTGGCTCGCGAGCCAGCTTGAAATGAGCTCGAGCCGGTGATAGGCTCGGCTCAAAAGCTCAAGCCAGTAATAGGCTCGGCTCAAAAAGCTCGAGCTGACTTGAGTTATCATACAAAAAACGTTGCGAAAATGTTTTTTGTATAATATTATATTAAAAAAAACGTTTCGCAACATTTTTTTTAATTCTTTAGTAAAAAACGTTGCGAAAACGTTTTTTTCACTATATTATTTTAGAAAAAAATGTTTTGCAACGTTTTTTTAAATTCTTTAGTAAAAAAACGTTGCGAAAACGTTTTTTTTATCTAATATTAGAAAAAAACGTTTCGCAACATTTTTCTAAATTCTTTAATAAAAAAACGTTGCGAAAACGTTTTTTTCACTATATTATATTAGAAAAAAATGTTTCGCAACGTTTTTTTAAGTTCTTTAATAAAAAAACGTTGCGAAAACGTTTTTTTCACTATATTATATTGGAAAAAAACGTTTTGCAACGTTTTTTTAAGTTCTTTAATAAAAAAACGTTGCAAAAATGTTTTTTTCACTATATTATATTGGAAAAAAATGTTTTGCAACGTTTTTTTAAATTCTTTAGTAAAAAACGGTGCGAAAACGTTTTTTCCACTATATTATTTTAGAAAAAAACATTTTCGCAACGTTTTTTTAAATTCTTTAGTAAAAAAACATTGTGAAAACGTTTTTTTCACAATATTATATTAGAAAAAAATATTTCGCAACGTTTTTTTAAATTCTTTAATAAAAAAACGTTGCAAAAACATTTTTTTCACAATATTATTTTAGAAAAAAATGTTTCGCAACATTTTTTTAATTCTTTAATAAAAAAACGTTGCGAAACGTTTTTCTGAAGATAAAGCTCAAGCCTGGCTTGGCTCGAACCATGAAAATCATGGCTCGGCTCGGCTCACTTTAGCTTGAGCTGAAATTTTTATGGCTCGGCTTATTCTGGCTTAGGCCAGAATTTTTTTTTTCAAGCTGAGCCGAGCCAGACTGTGGCTCGGCTCAAGCCGGCTCATGCGGAGCTTTAATTAGCACAAGTATAAAAGCTTCATAATGTACAGCAGATTAATTATACTTATATTTATCATTTGTATGAACTTTATTACCTAAATGTAAAAAGTAATGATATGATTCACGAATCAAAGATTTCTGGAACTGTGTATAGTATAACAGATAAGTGCAGTAAAATTAATCTTGTTATCACGTTCACAAAATATATTATATATTATATTATATAATATTATACCATATTATACTATAATCAGGAGGTATTGATATAATGCTAATATAGCTGATATAATGAGTTGCTTGGACTTATTAATTTTATTTGTTTACTAATTTCTATTTTTAAAGTATATATACCTGGTTTAATAAATTACATGATCATAAATATAAGAAATAAGAATGGAATTCATAAAACCTTAAAGGTAAATTTTTATATGAAAAAAGTAAATAGAAATACGATTAGAACTTAATATAATAAACCCTTTAATTTACTGAAAAAATTTGGTGTCTTTAATAAAGATTTAATATGTAATTATTTTTAGAAGGTTATAAGGTTGCAACTATTACAACATACATACAACACTTTTGTTGTAATTACAACACAATATTATAATTATTATATAGTATTATAATTACTACTAGTATTGTAATTATTATATAGTATTGTAATTATTTCCAATTATATAAATATGTATTATTATATATTAATTATTTCTTTTATGATGATATTTGTTCTATAAAAACTTATTTTTGTAATTTTTATTTTTCAAAAAGGAAATTTTTGAATAATCATAAGTGTTGTAATATTACAACACTTTAACTTTAAAAGTAGTAATAGGTTGCAACCCTTACTATTACAACACAAGGTAGTAATTATCAATTACATACTACATCTTTAGTCTTTAAATTCATACAGTTTATACATTTAGCATTTTTGGAATAAAAATCACAATATCTTAGATGTAATTTTGAATTTATAGTATAACTGTTAAATATATAGTAAAATTAAACAGAATTTTAAAATGTAACTTGTAATTATAAGATAAAATTTATGATTTTGTAAAATTTATTATACTATTTTTAGTTATAAGTTTATTATACAGATATATAAAATTTCATTATACAGACATGTAAAATTTATTATACTTTTTTTAATATAAGTTTATTATATAGATATGTAAAATTTCATTACATAGACATATAAAATTTATTATACTATTTTTAGTATAAGTTTATTATACAAACATTATAGTAACATTACACAGACATGTAAAATTCATTATACAGGTATGTACAATTTTATTATACAAACATGTAAAATTTAAAAAATAAATAAATATAAAATATGTAAAAAAGAATTTTTTAAGAATATCCATATAATATAAAAATTATAAAATAAAGTAAAGATCAGAAAGGATGGGTGGTTAGGGGCAGAAGGTGAGATAAATTAAAGTTATTTTTTTTATTTTTTTTTTTATCAAAAAATAATATATATATCTGTAATTATTGATCAATTTTGAACTTATTTTAAATAGGAACTTTTTTACTTTTTTTTAAAATAATTATATCTAAAAATTAGACCAATTTTAAGAAATAAAAAGTATCAAATGTATAAAATAAATTATGTTTTATATAATCTATAAGTTCTACTTAATTATAAATATTACTGAATTTATAACATCAGGAAATTATATAGTGCGAAAAGTTGCGCAAGTTTACACATCATAATATTTCGTAAGCTTCCAGACCCGC